CCCCGCCGCGTTTTGGGGCTGTAAGGAGGGTTTTCACCCTCTCCGCCTTCGGCAACCATCCAACACGCCCCCCAAGGTCGGCGGACCCCAATATGTTCCTTATAGGTGTTTTTACAACCCATTATAGTAGTTTCCATTTTCTTTTCCATTATCCTAATATAACCCCAATAGTACCCTAATATTACCACAATTTATAACTTGCAAACCACATCGCGTTGTGGCTTTGCAGCTGCCCTGACCACTTTCGGCCAGCGAAATTCGCTCAACACCAGCAGCCCTAACCCAAAAACGCCTCATCCTAGACCCCAAATTTCAAGCCTGTCATCCTAAACCCTAAAACCGTTAACCCTAAAATGCATGAGTCATGAGTCCAAGTTGAATCTGAGCCTGTTGCGAGAGGCCCTCGGGATGGCGGCAATAATGGAAAGCCAGGCGTGGCATGCTGTTGGATTTTACACCTAAATTTACTCGGGGTTAGTAGCGAATAGGAGGATATAGTCCCTAGATAATCCCCATGTAAATATATTCCCTTGTTCCCTACTAACCCAGTAAGTTAAGGTTGGGAGTGTCAGGTTTAGGGTGGTACTGCGGGGGGGCACAAAGCAGACATATATACATGGATGTATAAATCAGAATTATAGGGATCATAGAACGCCACACAGGCTCCTTTGAAAAAGACAAGGGTCTTTGCATGTAATTCCTCTGCTGGGCTTCCATATGATTTCGGCAAAGGGTGGATAACCATCGGGTTAAGAACTGCAAGTTTAGAGCAAACCGTTTCGAAATTACGTTAAGGAGCGCAAGCATTTCAAGGATTCAGGGTTTGCAGTCCTGCTGTGAGACTTTCATAACATTCTAGGCATTCAAGCTTTCATGCCCTAGAGGCGCTAGAAAGTTGCGGCAAAGCAGGCTTGTCATGGGGGAAGTTCTTAAACATCGCTACTAAACCGTACAGTCCCAAAAAAGGAGCAGTGCGTAAGACGTAAGATGTGAAGAGAGAGGAAGCTCCAAGATGAGGCCCTGCCTTACGTCTTAAGAGGGAAGAGGTCTCCTAACCGCCTTTGTTGTCCAGATATAGCTTTTTAATTGAGTCATGTGATAGTCACAAGATCTTGATTTTGGTGATTGAGGTAACCAACAATTCCATATCCCTGGGGTATCCAGAAGCAGCAGATGTGAAGACCTGATCTCATGGATGCAGCCTAAGCCTAAACCCTAAGCCCTGACCCTAAACCTTAAAGGTGGAGGAGATGAGAAAGCTGCTGAACAGGTTCAAGGCGTGTCCACCCAGACCTGGATGTGAACTGAGGGTTTAGGATTGTGATTGAACATTTTGGATTGAGGGTTTAGGGCCGCATCCGTTCTGAGTGTCTTCTAAGTTTGGATAACGTATGTCCCTATTCTTGGGTACTTGTACGTAGTGCTTTCCACCCTTTCAGAACAGTTATTTTGGCATGGCGAAGCTCTAGGATGACATGCAGTGCCTTGCATCAAATGGCAACCCTCAGCTGCAAAGCCCAAAGCTCAGACCTGAGAATCTGGCGCGAGAAAAGAGATAGACAAAGCTCCCTAACCCTGAGCCTAAACCCTGAACCTTGACACCTAAATCTAAACCCTACATTCAACTGACCTTAATTTGTTGTGAGGGGGGTGGTATGGGGGGGTGGTTGGGTAGGTAGTAAGGGCACCCATGATACATGCGAGCCCCTCAGGGGCTTGGGCTGTCAGGTGTGCTCGAACCCAACAGCTTCGGGGTTTGCGTCAGATGTGGATGCAGGCAACCGCCTTCCGGAGAGCTTAGATATTTCGAGGACAGGGTGTAAGTTTTCAGGGTCGAAGGTTTATGATTGAAGGTTTATGGTTTAGGGTTGGGCTTAATGAAAGGTTCGAGGCTGACGGTTTGGCCCAGGACCAGGAGAATGTAGGGTTTTTGTGTTTTTGTTGTAGAATTAAGACAATCCGCTCGTAGCGTGTGGGTTTAGGGGTGTGCAGTACA